TGTGAGGAGCGACTCGGCGAGCGGACTTGGGCGGGCAGGGTCCCACGACTGCAGCGCCCAGCACGCGACCAGATTTGGACACGCCCACGAGCAGCTTGCCCTCCTTGCGCGCCTGATCGGCCAGCCTCGCAGCTCCCAGGGCCTCGTCCACACATTTGCAGACTTCTTCGATTTTGCGATTGAGCATAGCGTTCGTGTTGCTCGCCAGGCTGTAGGAGAGCAATTGGACCTCGTTGCTGCCCGCTTTTAGCTTCTTTGCGATGGCTGGTGGGATGTTGACGCTCCCGCACTCTTCGCCCGCATCGACCAGCTTGGTGCTCCATTCCACCCCACGAGTCATGCGCTCATGGTATTTGGTGTGAAGAGCCACATCGTTGACGTCCGATCTGTCAAAGGACATTTCGCATTCTCGGCACGTGCTCTGGATGCGCTGTCCAAGGTCCAGGACCATCTGCTCTTGCGGACGCACAGCCAGAGGTTGCTTCTTGGACGACGTGCGGTGGCAAGGGGACGACGTTACTTTGGCGACTGAGCTGGGCTCCGAGCTGCCCGAAATCGATGTGGCAGGGCTAGAAGGCCGGTTCTCGTTGGATTGCGGGCTACTCCATCCGCCCGCCTGGAAAGGTGTGTTTGGAGATGACGGTACCTGTGCATGCAGGCGCTGATCATGGGCCTTGGCAGCGACTTCTCTGCTCTGCTCAGCTGCGTAAGGATGTTCCGTGTCAGACCGGCTCATAGCTCACGCTCACGCTCATGTATTGCTTCTAAGCTACGCACAGGCCTTTGGCAGGTCGGATGATGAGGCGGTAGCGAGTGAAAGCGAGCGCGCTTGAGCCTTGATGATCCCCAATTGACGTGATAAGTCCTCGGTGTCGTCCGAGCTGATGCGCTTCACGAGATGCGCAAAGTCGGCCAAAAGGGCCACAGAGATGCGAGAGTGTGTACGCTGTGCTTGTAGAGCTTTGGAAGCCTCGGAGAACTCTTTGGAGACCTGCATGGCTCGATCGCAAATGTTGTGCGGTACGCCTGCCAAAGCTGCCACCTGAGTGCCGTAAGACGATTCTGCGATGCCGGGAACGAGTCGGTAGCTGATCGAAAATGGTAAGGAGAGTGTCAGCTGCTGATGTCAAAAGTCTGGAAATGCTGCGCACTCACGTGAACACCACTTCGCGATTCTCGTCATCCACCACGACTTGCATATGCTTGTTGGCGACACCAGGGTATGCGTCAAAGTCGTGCGCTAGCGACGTGTAATGCGTCAGGAAGAAGGAAAGACATCTCGTCCTTCCAACCAGATGGTGCAAGACTGCAAAAGCAATAGCGTGGCCGTCGAAAGTGGAGGTGCCTCGTCCGAGCTCATCCATGATCACCAGCGAGCGGGGTGTACATTCACGAATGATCTGCAGCAGGTCATAGCATGAGCAGCGAGTCCTGTGCATCCATCATCAATTCGCTACTCACTCTCGAAGCCTCCAGCATTTCGACCATGAATGTGCTATTGTTGCGGAAGATCTGCGAGGGCGGGGTGGAATGAGTCTCAATGCATGTAAACGCTGCGCACAAAGCGCATCTACCCACCTGGTCATTGGCACCCATCCTACTCGCAATCCTGTCCACCGGCGAGATTACAGCAGAGGAGGCAGGCACGCGGCAACCGAGCTGCGCTAGGATGACGGCCGTGGCGGCAGTCCTAGCAGTGGTGGACTTGCCGGCCATATTACCTCCCGTCAGAATGACGACCTCTTCGTGTCGATCTCCGAGCGCGACATCGTTCGCAATAAAGTCGAGACCCGTGTTGGTTGACATGCAAGGATGCCTCAGATCTTTAAAGTCGACCGAAGCAGTCTCGCAATCGATGAACTGTGGTCTGCAGGCAGGCGATCCGAGCGCGTAGGACGCTTTGCTCAGACTCAGCAAACAATCCAGCTCGGCGAGCCCCTTGACTGCAGCGGTGAAGACTGCCGTGTCTTCTGAAAATGCTTCAAAGAGCTGAGCGTGGAAGAGTTTCAGAGAAGCCAACAACGTCTCGCGCGACTCTTTTAGTTCTTGTACGAGTTGCCGGACCGCTGGAGGGTACCACCTCTTGCTATCTTTGGTCTGTGACACGATCGACCACTCTTTGGGCACCGCCGTCTTGGCTGGCACCTCGACCTGCACACCGATCAAGAAAAGTGAGAAGAGTGTCGCAGTTTCAACGCGACACAGGCGACTTTGAACCTCACCTGAAAGATCTCGTTCGTTCCCACATGCTTCCATTTCACGACGCGTCGCTCCAGCTTGACCGTCTTTGCAGCTCGAGCAAGCTCTCGCTCCAGCTGGTCGAGAATGGCAGACTCTGCGTCCTGCGCATCGTCAAAGTCCTGGAACACCCCAGTTCGCGGGATGAAAGCGCCGTCGTCCTTGAGCGCAAACATGTCTTGCAGACGTTGCGCGATGGGCGAAACTTGAGGGATGCCGCGTAGCAGGCTGCCAATCGTGGTGGAAGAAAAGTGTTGCGTTTCTTGCAACAGTCTCTCAATCAGGCCATCCAGCTCCGACAAGGCCGTCAAGACCCTCGTAAAGTCCATTGGCTTGCACTTGCCAGCGTGAATGCGTGGCATAATCCTTTCAATGTCCGGCAGCTTTTTTGCAGCCTTGTCGAAGACGTCTTGAAAGTCTGGGCTAGAGAGAAAGTCGTCCACGGCATCGTGCCTCGCCTCGAGAGCCCTGCGCTCGCAGAGGGGAGCTACGAGCCAAATCTTGAAGAGACGCTTGCCGAACGGCGTGACGCATCGATTGAGAAGCTTGTGCAGCGTCCCAACATCATTGCCCTGCTCGTTCGAGAGCACATTAAGATGCGAGAGGGATTGCGCATCTAGAACCAGACATCCGTTGTTCTTGAGCGGGTCAAAGATGTCAAAGTTCTTGCTGGAGCACAGATCCTGATCCAGATTGAGTTGCTCGAGGTACCACAGCATACCGCCAAGCGCCGACATGGCAGTGTCCCTGTCCAGCATCGAAGTGATGGCTTCCGGCCAGGCTTCGTGAGAGTCTGCAGAACTGCCAAAGAGCTGCTCGAGACGCTCCATCGCCGCGTCGTGGTCAAGATATTCCGTTCCGCTCTTGAGCATGGTAACTTGGCAGCTGGATGGCAAGGTGTTGCGCAAGATCCGCAAGGTCCTCTGAGACAACCCGGCCTTCT